GATGAGAATGGCCACCTTCTGATGGACCGAAAAAGGGTATTACAACGATGGCGTGAATATGTCGAGGGCTTCTCAACGGTAGAATTCGCCCATCCCGCTCCACCCTGCACAGCACCAACATATGGTCCCGTTCAGAAGATCACCATACAGGAAACAGAAGCTGCTCTGAGGAAGATGAAGTCCGGCAAAGTTACAGGCCCCGACGACATAGCAGCTGATTTGTGGAAATCACAGCGCTTGTTTTCTGCGGGTTGGTTGGCGAAACTCTTCAACCAGATCGTCGAAGAGAAGAAGGTGCCCAATGACTGGCAGCAGAGCGTGACGATCCCGGTTTGGAAGAAGAAGCGCAGCTCAGCAGATTGCTCAAACTATCGTCCAATTCGCCTTCTTTCACACACCATGAAGGTCTTTGAGCGAATTATTGACGCCCGCGTTCGTGATATCGTCCAGCTTTCCACCCATCCGTGTGGCTTCGTGGAGGGTTGTAGCACCGTCGACGCTATACATGCCGCTCGCCTACTGCTGGAGAAACACCGTGAGAAACGAAAGCCCGTGCATGTAGCCTACCTAGACCTGGAAAAGGCATTCGATCGGGTGCCGCGTGATGTTATATGGTACGCTTTGAGGCGGCACGGCGTGCCCGAAGAGCTCCTTGAGTGGGTGCGCATCCTTTACTCATGCCCAGGGAGCCAAGTTCGCTCACCAGCGGGTGTCTCAGTTGAGTTCCCCATCACCGTCGGGGTACATCAAGGCTCTGCGCTCTCCCCACTTCTTTTCGTGGCAGTCATGGATGCCATTTCACGAGATCTTCAGAAAGAAGTGCCATGGACCCTGCTTTACGCTGATGACGTGATGCTTGCTTGTGAAGATAAGAGCGCACTGGAACAGCAGGTGCAAGCTTGGGCCGAGCGTCTGGTTAAGTTTGGACTCAGGTTGAACGTCAACAAAACCGAGTACCTGACAACTGATCCAAATGAGACGGGCTCCATCAAGATCGATGGCACGGTGCTCAAGTGCACGGAAACATTCAAGTATCTCGGATCAGCATTTGCGTCCGACGGCAGTCTAAACTCGGAAGTGCGCACGAGTCGAGCTGCCGCGTGGTCTAAGTGGCGATCCATGTCCGGGATCCTTCGCGACAAGAAAATCCAGAGCGGTTCAAATCAAAAATCTATCGTTACTGTCGTCCAACCTGTCGCTTATATGGAGCCGAGTGCTGGCCCGCGACAAAAGAAGTATGAGAGCTCGCCTTGGCGTGATGGAGATGAAGATGTTGCGCTGGATGGCGGCGTCACGCGATCGGACGCCGCATCTTGTAAATGTCGTGTGCAAGAAGGTGGTGTAGTCCCCATAGCGGGGAAATTAGTGAAAACGCGCCTCCGCTGTTTAAGGACACGGTACTTCGCGCGACAGTCTACACCGTCCGGAAAACTGCTTTCGAACTCGAGGTACAGGTAAAGCGCCCAAGTAGGATGTCCCAGACAGCGCTGGCTCGACACGTTGCATACCGACTTGGAAATAGCCGGCATCCACCTGATCAGGCATCCAATCGGGAAAAGTGGCGTAGTTGTCATCAAAGAGCGGACCACCGAATCAAGCGGGACAAACGCTGAAGAAGAATATCAACTTCCTGTCACCCACCAATAGGTGTTTCTGTCACACACACACACACACACAACACACACACACTACACATCACATGCACGCACCACTGCACGCACGCCACGCACGCACGCACGCACGCACGCACGGACATAGCCGATTATATTAGTAGGATGGTGTCTGTAGCTTGTTTTCACAAAAAATGCTACTGTGTATGGAACTGAGCGGCTCCTCTTTCCGTTGAACATTTACTAGCCGACTAGTACATTTTTACGTGTTTACGCGTAAGCCCTTCTTCACCTCACTCGATCTATCAACACACCTCCAACAACCACGAGAGAGTCAATAAAGAACTAACCGAAAGGAGCAAGTTCAAATACATTGGAGCAAAGTCCTGCTCCGAATATTTGTTCCAATGACCCAGTTTCATCTTTATTATTTCTGATTTATCCCATCAATGCTTTTCGAGAAACGTTCTCCCGAAGCTGTATCGAGAGCCTTTGCTGCTAGTTGACCTTCATCTCTCACTCCCTCAAGGACGAAGGAAGCGCAGGCCCAGCGATCTCCTGGCACGGTGGAATTGCCACCAGGTGGTTTAGAGGGCATAACTACCATAACAGCCCCGTGCATATATTGGCCGAAATGAAGGGGGCAATCCATTGAATGGCAGAGGAAGATCTAGTAGAGCGACAATGCGAGACTTTCTGCAAAAATGTTAACAGCTATTCATGCGTACATGCTGTGAGCATCTAGAGAGAGCACAAGTTCGACGGGTTCGGCATAAGTGCTGTTAGTTTTTAGCGATATTACACGATTGGGTTCTATTCTAAACGTGGGTGTTGTAAAGACCAACTAATGTCTTGCCTGTTGTTAGAAAGCCTCGGACTAGCGATAAACCTCGCCACTGGACATTACCGCTCACCACGTGTCCTCTAGGATCACTTCTGAGATCAGGAACGTGTGAATCGAGGGTCGGAGGCAATTTTGGAAAAAATTCGGCACTCTCCGATAAAATGACCCAAGGAAAAAAACTATTCTCTCCGGAAAAGGCATGAAGGACCTGAATCCATTTTTACACGATCTAAACGTGCAAATGATTGAGCAAATAAGAGAAGCGCGGAAGCCTCAGGGACTGGTTCTAGCGCTGCTCTCAAATCCCCGATACTCTTCTTGCAACAAACGTGTGTCCACAATGAGAACGTTGTTCGCCGCCCCATAGAGGTACCTAACTACTGTCGCAGTAAGGATGACATGTTTGAAACTCATAGTCAGTAGGGAAACTTATGTAACAGGAATTATGCACTTACCACAACTAAACTGTAAGTGAGGATAGAATTCGCTGTCATGCTAATCAGACTCTCAAATGAAAATGAGACTCACTATCTTTTCCTTATACGTGCGTAATACCGATTGCTTACAGCTCGCAGCACAGTGTTAACGGCAAAAGGTCACAAATGATTGAATAGCACTCGTCTCAGTTTTTTAGTCCAGGATTTTTGACGGGAGTTCACAACACTGATGTTTCCCATTTTGAGACTTCGGTCTCCTGCGCCAATAATACACTGACAATTTTAGCATGTTACCATTATGCTCCTCCGCTCAGCGCTGTCGTGATCCTTCCTCGTCTCATACCAGCTCCTTGCTGTTTATTCGTTATCCAGAGGTCTTCCTGTTCTTCCCATCACAACTCTGGTATTCTCTGGTAGACCATACCTAGATGTGAGCTGCCATCGAGCCTGCCGCGTGAGCAAGTGAAACAACCTTCTGAATTGCACTGCTTACCAGGACCCTGTGTCAAATTAATTGTTGTTCAATGTTGCTATTAGAGGACTTAATTAATTAAACTATTTTGTACCTGTGCTCTAAGAATGCTCCGCTGCATAGCACTGTTCGTTTCATCGGATATGGAGGTTAGACATAGAAACAGTTCATCCAATTGTACCTTCTCGCATATTAGTGAGCTGTTATCAATGCCTTACCACACCAACCATTCACATATCTGTCTTACAAGCCGGGCGCTGTGATTCATGACGTTCATTTTCGCTTGCGCATATAGCGAAATATTACACGATTGAAAGACATATTTTTGCATTGTTTCGCAGAGGCGCAGGTTAGAGCTTCCTAACGAACAACAGCAAAAATTGAATTCATAGAAATGGTCTTTTTCATGTCGCAGCAAGTAATATTGTTTACAATCAACAAATAAAACTGAAATAAGGCAAATGTTGCTGCTGCTGCTTACACTCAGTTAATGAGCTCATTTTGACTGTTGTGTTTATGCTCCGCTTGAAAAAGCCTTTACTTACCTCAATCTGGACAGTTATGGAAACTGTTTGTTGTGTTTGTTTTGAGGGCATATTCCCCAGAGGTTTGTGAACGTGACAGGTGACGTTACGGCAGAGCAAATTACGAAATAGAAGTTTTTTTTATTGGCAACCGGCTGTCGTGAACTATTTTTCTGTTCCTAGAAAGACAGTTGAATTCGAGAGGTTTATCTTCGCTTGACCACGGAATAACCACTTGTTTCCTTTTTCCTTCCTGAAGCACTGTTGTTCAAGTGATGGAACTGCTCTGCTTTCCCCAGATCGAAGAACGCCTCCGTTAATAGGAGGCCTATGTTCTAGTGGATTAGGATCAGGAGCCACGGTCATGGAACATCTGAGACTATCTTTTTGCCTGCTTCACCCCGTCCCCTTTTGGCAGACCCAATCATACCCGTATAGAACTATATAAAACCCATTGTGCGTCATCATGAACGAGGCAAAAGCGCCAGGGCGACTGATGTCGATCCATCTGTTTCGCATGGCAGTAATTAGGTATGCATCCACACCATCTAGGTGAACTTCTCGGTGCTGTCAGAAAACGCCCACTAGAGTACATTCCGCAGTCATGAGGAACATCCCATAGATTATAGGGACATCAAAAGTTGTGTGAAAGAGTATACCGGCCCACCAGCGAAGAAAGCAAAAGAAGTTGGCATCAGCTAAGAAGGGTTCACGTCTCTACAGCTGATGGCAGGACAAAGAGAACCTCAGAATACGGCTGTTTGGATGAGATTTTGCTTCATATCACATCTTTATCATCTCTCTTCAACTTTTACAATTAGATTCACTTCCACTGCAGAGGCTTTTGAATAAAAAGGAATCCTTACTGCTTTGCATCGACTTGCTTCTAAACGCCTGCCCTTCACCTTCTAGCTTCCCTTCCTGGCTTCTATGGCTCGATAATCATGTAACAGAGTCCAAAAAAGAGTTGCAGTATTGGCTCTTAGTATGATGTCCCACAACATTGAGCTTCAGAATTAGTACCATTTTGATAAAGTTTCAAAGTAATAACTAGTATTTGTTGTTGTCAACCTGTCTGCCTGACTCAGGAATCCACAATGTAGTTTGTTCAAGATGTTTTTAACGGTCGAAACGGATTTTGGTCTCAACCTGCTCCAGTATGCTCACGCTAACGAGTCTCTGGTTGTGTCGCCAATCTCCGTGATCTTCACACTGGTCATGGTCCAAGCGGGTGCAAAAGGAGTTACGAAATCTCAAATTGATTCCGTAATTTCTGAAGGTAATGAGATTGCCTTAATTCTTTTAGAGCCCTAACTGCCACTGCTGTTAGGTTACAGGAGCCTCGGACAACGAAATTGATGAGCATTATACAAGACTATCCAAGCAGATTACGAACGCAACCAATGGTGTGAAGATCGAGATCGCAAATGCTTTTTTTATTAAGTGAGTAGTTTTTTCACGATTTTTTTCACCCGCTAATGTTAGCAATTCCTAGCCAAGAGTTTGAGATCGAAAAGGATTATGAGCAAACTATTGAAGAAAGATACAACGCGAGAGTAGAAGCGGTGAACTTCGACAAAGCAGAGGAAGCTGCCAAGGTATAATGCTGAATGATTAATGTATCCTGACATCAACGCGCAGTTTTGTGTATTTTGATGGATTTCCTTCAGATTATCGATGGCTTCGAAGGCAAAACGACTGAAGGGAAAATTCGTGACATGGTAAACGAAGGCACGGTTCAAGGTACAGTTTTTGCAGAGTCATTGAATGAACAGAAGATGAAAAACTGCAGTGATTGAGCGTTCAACCAGGTGTTCCATTAGAAACAATTCCACGATGATGGAGTGATTATTCACTTGAAAGTACATTTTGCTAGTTTGTGTTTTGCTGGTCCAAGTGTAGCTAGTGTAATGAAAGAGTATAACGTACACGTCACGCACACGTGATTACGTAATACCAACATCCATGCGAACGAAATAGGAGAGGATCAAACACGTGTATAAGAACTTATGCAACAACCTAATACTTAGAGGAAAACTTAGTCATTCAAAGGACAGGCAGTGCTGAGACTTTCAGTGAAAGTAAGGGAAATAATCTGCTGCAACTCGAGAACTTCCGGTGATGCCATGCGAGAGAGTCACCGGAAGTTCTCGAGAGTACTGATATGGTGCTCCACTGATACGGTCTCTCTTATCCTTTTTCATCTGCCATCTAATCTGAACTTTCAGCGTTTCTTCACTAGCGCTTATAAATCCCTCAAAATGTTGCTCAAGGTGTTCTTGAAAAGTCCTTTTTCTCGTAAACGCTTCTGACATTGCTATTTAATTTTCTCGCCGACTCGCACGTTGGAACCTACAACAGCGTTCATCTGTCCGAATCACGCCACAGTGAAATCCACTTTTATGGTCTCTGAAAGCCATGAAGGCTACGCTTTGAGAGGAGTGAAGAGTTTTTTGCAGGTGCTCATTCATTAATTATCAATGCCATCCATTTCGCGGCGGAATGGAAGTACAAATTTGATAAAGGTTCCAATTCAAACGGCACTTTCTACAGCGCTGCAGGAAACCACAAGGAGGTAAATTGTACAGATGCTCGCTTGTTTTATGGAAATTGCTGTGAAATGATCTTTGTCCACAATTGCGGTATCTTGTTGTGCCCATTAGTTTGTAATGGGATGCACTACTAATCCGCACGGCGCGTCTACCGGTTTTGTTTTCTCGCTGAGATAATCTCCATCTAAAGCTGCACTTACATTTTGACCCCTAGTAGTGTAACCCAAGCGAGGGTCTCCTAATCTATCGGGATGTTCTGAGAACGTGCATCTAATTATATCTATGTGGAGCCTTTTTTGAGGCTGCAGCTGTGGCCACTTCTTGTGGGAAAGCTCGCTTCAGTTCAGATAGAATACGTGGTTAGATCATAAATTGCCAAGCAGGCCCAGCAGAAATCTTTATTCGGCCCTATCCTAAGATAGAACGCATTATCTGGAAGCCTGAAAGCATATTCTGATATAAACTATCTTGCTAAAGGTATTTTCTTTCTTTGATCATTTGCAAGTTCACTAATGTACGCAAAACGGAATGATGCTTACAGCAGAAGGGAGTGCCTCAGGTCGCTTTTTTGACAAAACGAATGCTATAGCGTAAGTGAGGTCTTGGTCGTGCACTGTAACTGTGTCAGTAGTAAAACATCTACGTGCAGTACCTTCTATGTGAGAGTTCGCATGGCGATATGTCAGGCAGTAAGCCAGAAAATTTGCATGCATCCGTTCCGGGTAATTATGCGTGGATTGTATGACAAAAGGACATCAAGTGAGTGTGCCAAAAGGACGTCTGAGGCTTTTTCACTCAGACAAGGTAATTCAAGCATGAACAGCAGGAATAAATGCATATGGATGACCTCTGAATGCTTGTCCTACATACCGTTATGTGAGTTGTTATTTAAGGGAGTCCTTGGTGCTGTTGGAACTAAGGTCGATGCTTTTTTTGCTTGGCGTGTCATAATGAAGTTACAAGTGCCCAAAACGGGGAAATTCCTTAAGCAGCTTGATAAGTTACATACATGCTGATGTTGATATGCTTTCAGATCCGATAACGAAGCAAATTTGCTGACTCACTCTTCTTTGCAGGTAGAATACATGAATGCGTTTTATGTACACCGGCTATACACTCAGGACGACGACTTCCAGGTGCTTTGCCTTCAATACTCCGACCCATCGTTCGCTTTCAACATCTTCTTACCTAGAAGGAGGTTTCTTATTTTCATAAGCGACAGCACCTTGATAATGAACGGAACTGTTCCGATAACCTCTTACTGTTAGAAGTTTTATTTCAGTGCCGATCTCAGCGAAGTCCGGTCAAGCCTCACGGGAGAGAAAATCCAAAGTCTGCTCTCAGACTTAGAAGAGGCCTTCATGTCGGTACGGCGGAATCTTTGAAAGTTGTTCAAGCATATCTCGTGATAAAATAGCGAGCTGCTGCTGAAGTGCCACGAATTGTGGGCTTGAAATGACGTTATTGAGCTCCAAAGACTGGCGATATTGAAGGGATAACTGCTTGTACTGTTACAGTAAGCGTGATGTCAGTGTCGGGTCGGGAGTCATCCGAAAATTCATAATTCTTTGCGCTTTCTCTGAACTTCGTGAAATAGAATCTGCCGCGAGAAAGTAAACTCATTTGTTTCGCCGACTTTTTTCTTTGAGACTTCTTTGCACCTCCATTTTTGTTCCGAAGACGGACTTTGTGCAATGTGCCATCGAAGGCACATCCCGCAACTACCTGATAGGTGAAGTCTATTCCTTGTACGAAGTGGTTTTGTCCGTGACCGCAAATGCTACATCTTCTTTGCGGGTTTGAAAGTGGTCAACGAGGGTGCCGAGGCTGTCGCTTGCCGTAATAACCCCACCCACCAGCTGTAGGCTTTGTCTGGCGCTGGACGGCAGTACGTCCAAAATTATATGCTGCCTCCTCTATGTATGCGTGAGTCGAGTGCTTGTCGTCTAGACGTTCGGTAGAGGAGTCAAAACAGCTAACCTATGAGGGCCCCAACGCCACTGTCAAGCCGCAAAAGTGTATATTTCTCGGGAACTACGACTAAACTACTCGTGCAAAAAAGAGCGCCTATGACTTGCCTAAGCGCCGCCACTGTCTTCAAGACACAGCCTGCGTCAGTCAGTTGCAGTTGCAGAGATGCACGCTACAGCGACCGGAAAAATATCTGGTCACAGCAACAGCGGGTTAATTTTTTCGCGAGCAGTATTCACTTGATTAATTTGCAACCAATTTCCATTCGATACTATTTGCTGAGTGTCTCATCTGTGTGGTTAATTAACGATAAGAGAACAAAAACCTGCGAAATATTCGTGCTGTTTTAGAAGAATATGCGACTTGGAAAGAGAGTATTCTTGTGTTCGAGAATACAGCATCTTACGCAATATATGTGTTAAAAATTCTTCTTTACAGGTCACGATTCCGAAAATGAAGATTGAGACTGATTTCAATCTTAAATCTTCGCTGATCCCTATAGGTGTCTCGGAAATGTTCAGTGACGAAGCTGATCTCTCTGGAATTATCAAAGAACCCTCCGTTAAAGTCTCCGATGTAACCCATCGGGCCACCATTGAGGTGAGCGGGCGTTTATAAATTGTCATTCTAAGGGAAGACTCTTCTGCTCTCTCTCGCTCTCTCTCTCTCTGTTCTTGTTTCAAATCACTGTCTCAGGTAGATGAGGACGGAACAAGAGCGGCAGCCGCCACACTTTTCAAAGTTCCTCCAGTCTCAGCTGTTATGAAGGAATCAATGGAATTTCAAGCCGACCATCCGTTTTTATTTATTCTGACGAAGGATAATAATCCTTTATTTATGGGACAGTTTTTGTAAAATTGACGTACAGTAAAGGATACGCTGTAAACAAATGAATATTATAAAGTTGCATCGCATTTACTTTTCAAAATGCGTCCCTTTGTTTGCTGATTCCGAATTCACTGGCAGGTGGTTTGTTCTGACTATTTTGCTTGCCTTGTATACGAAACTAAAGAGCGTTCAAGCTACAACTCAAATTATAGCCTGAAGTATGCACCTTACTCAAAAATTACCAGGATATGCCCTTTTTGTGGCCATCTGGTACCTTTGCGAAGAGCAACAACGAAACAGATTTGCTTCTGCTATAGAACACACTATAGTTAAGCGGGAGTCTGAGGATATAATTTGTTGGGTTGAAGGCTCATTGTCATGGCGGTTTTCCTGCCGTCGGCTTTGAAGCCGGAGCCGGACTGAAGGCGAAACTATCCTGAAAAGAGAAAGTTGATATCTTCTACTCCTAAACTCTTCCTGGTCGACGTATGACGCTATGCATCACGATATCCTGATTTTGTAGTACAAGTGTTGTTCCCTTCGTAGGTCCCATACTAAGCCGGTGAACATCGTTTAGATAGAATCTGATGATAACATTATGCAGCGCTGGCAAAATAGCAAATGTGTCGCTCAAAAGAAGCAATCATCACAGTTCAAACACTGACAACTGCTTGTACAACAAGTGAAACCTGGATATCTGGCGCCTTCCAGTTAGATGCAGCTATACTGCCTGCTATTTCGTACTGTCACGTTTGTCGAGTTTGTAGCTCCCCGCTCTGTATCGACAAAAAGATTCTGAGTTGAGTACATGGTCGCGTGTGAGGAATCCGATTTTCTGGTGGTATACCAGGTTTTTCATCCGTAATGGTGCTTAGCCGACTGGTTCGCTTATGTTATCGAGCCAGGAGAGGCATAGATCCTGGCCGAAGGTGGTGATTTGCTAACATGACGCCTTGAAAACGCGGACTTATTCAGATTTACGAGTGAACACGGATCCGTTGCACTCGTTGAGATTGCACATTGGTATGACTTCTGAACAACAGCTACTGAGTTTTCTTTCAGTGAAGGTCAGCATAGTGATGGCGTATGTCGAATTCCTCGGTGAGCGGTGATTATACGATTCTACAGTCGAGAAAGTGTGGGAAAGGGATATCCCATCTGTATTTGATTTTCTTGTCCTTTTTAGCAGGAAACTGGGGAAATTGTGGGTTGGAAGTTTGCCCTGGTCGCAATTCAATCGAGTGTTCTCGGAGAAAGCTTTATTGGTGACAGTTCAACCAAGACTCACCGAACATTATGAGCTTATATCACAAAGATTCAATTTTGATTGTTGGTCAGTATACAATATAAGGTCCAAGGCAGAACAACTGTAGCCGAAGAAAAAGCGACCAACAGTTTGCTACAGGATTAGGACAAGCATAAACGAAACGAGAGATGACCAATGCCCCTTTTTTTGTGAGTCAACGAAGTCTTCTTTCGGTTTGAGATTGTAGTTAGTTAGTTGTTGCAGCGTTTCCCACTGGGAGTAGGAGGCGCTTTCTACACATGTTACGTATGAAACCAAGGAGGTGAATTGTGAAGTGTTATTATTCACTTTCTTCTACCGTTCTCGAGTTTGTTATAAGAATAGGACAAAATTACGAGGGATCTGAGCTGAGTCTGTAGTAACTAGAGCACTTCTCAAGGATTCGCTGCATCTTGGAACTCGTCAAACAATCTTCTTCTTTCATATTGTTTCCTTGGTACTATGTAATGCCCACACTTCGTCAGCTGATGTTATAAGAGATCCATGATTAAGTAACGCTTCCGTATGCAGTAGACTCTTTTTTGCGTGATATAGACTTCAATATTGCAAAAATTTTCCAATTTTCACAGAATAGCTTAATGAATCTTGGCAGCTCGAACATTAGAGCTGAGTCAAACGAAATTTCATGCGGACCTTCCTGTACAGTAATAGCACTTGTGTCACACGAGAAGCCTTACTTAGGTTTTACAGCTTCCCAACACATCTGTGTAGGACCCGGATGTATGGCGCAATACAGAGGTAATAACAATCGACGCCGAATGAACATTTTCTAATAACTTGGGTGAAAAGGTGTATTCTTGAAGCTAACTGAAGTTTTCAAACAAGCTGAAAATGATACTGCCCTGGTAGGGTGGGATTCGCGTCGTCAAGCGAACTTTCCACTACAAAACATTCCGAAAATTTTTTTGAAATCGAGCACAGCTCTTTGGGAGTAAGAGGTCTCCTAGATCTCGGCGCTGTTTCTATTTTCACAAGAGATCACATACGATGAAAGCAATGGCTGCTCAAAGCATGGGAGCTCGTGACAATAGAGCAACGACAGCACAACTGGAGTATTCCCTTGAAAAGATGTTGCGTAGAAAAGCTTGAGCATAGCTAATCCACAAAAAAAAGAAATCATAATAAGGAGCCTTCTCTACCGTTGAGTATTTGGTGACCTTGTCTTCTCTTTCAGTGCTCATGGTCAGAAATGAAAGTATGAGAGCCAGTAAATACTGGACTTTCAGACCTAGCAGGGAGCGCGCTTATTTCCTTAGACCATAGAGCGTTGCAATGTAAAGGAGACAGCACCTCTTTTTCTCAAACTCTCTCTTCTTCCGCGGTTCCAGATGGCTTCAGCTGCTTCATTATTGCTACAATCACTCGGGGCATGTCAGCGACACAGATTTACACAGATTTTGACGCGACATCAGCTCCTTTCTCGCTAGGCAGGCGTCACGCCAAAGTCAATGTGCAACTGACACGCCACGACTGACTTCGTTGATCACATCTGTACGTGCATAAGGTAAAGAAAGGGCTGCCTGGACGAGTTCTCGCTTGTTGACCAGCTCTTTTCCCTTATCACCTCACTCTCACCATTCGAAAAGTAGAGAGTTTGCTGGAGCAATCGCACCACCGTTTAGCAATGTGAGCTGGGCGTTGCAGGGCTCAGTAGGCGGGGCGGCGGCCTCCTCACGGGTCACGCCTTCCCCACATATTTTTGAGCCACGGGAGCGGTACATATTCATATCTTGCAAAACAGAACCACCGCGTCCAAGGGAGGCATCCGAACAAAAAATGGAAGCAAAGTATGTTTCTAACTAGCTGGTACTATTGAGTCGCTTTATATTATCCGCATGAGGAAACGTTACAGTAGGTCCCACTCGCAAAACGCCAAAACCTTACAAGAGAGGTCTTTCAGGTCAGGCGCGCTCTTTAGAAATTATTTGCTGCATATTGTAGGGGTCCATATAAGGATCACAAAAATGGGTTTCGTTTTTGCTATGCATTTCCAGGAATGTCAAAAAATCAGTGAAAATTTGCTGAGTAATAGCGATTTTGAACCATATTTCTAGGCTTATTTCTATTTCTAGTGTCGAGTATGCATAGCAAATAAGACCTTCTTCGACACTGCATCGAAAACAATACAAGTCAAGGTCAAAAAAGTAGTTTATCTGGCACACAGTGAGGTAATATTGTAGTTTCCCAAGTGATTCCGCAGCATCCCAACCCGCAGCTGGAAGGGGGGGGGCTATCCAGAACCATGTTGGCGCCAAATGGCCTAGGCGATAATTACGAAGGTCAGAAATGTGTTTGGAGCCGTTGATAACCTCTATATACAGACTTCCAGCGAATTTTTTCTCCTCGAGCTGTTCGAGCTATGATGGTTGGTCGGTCCTATTGAACTGGTGGCTATCAGTATCCTGTAGAAGTAATTATCCAGCCTCGATACCTGGACCTTTCTGTTTATTAGTATATAAGTATATACCCATAATTAACAACTACAAACTTCAAAAAGGGAAATATATATGTTGTGCACAATATCTACACCTGGAAAGTTGAAATGGAAACAGTTAGACTGGGTGCGCTGATCGGGTGCCACTGTTAACCAAGTGGCCGGTTCATTATCACCAAAACCTACGAGAATTTTTTTGTAGCCCCGCTCACGATTCTGCCACTTATTTTATGCGCCGAGGCCATTTGGCGCCAGCATGGCGATTAACTGCCCTGCGTGCGGGTTGACAACGATTTCAGTGCAAGAATGCTCTTGCAACAGATTGGCGATAGGCTGCGCCGTGATCAGACATGAGTGTCGTACTCGTGAGTAGGGCATCCAGTCATCCCCGTAGCTCAACTTTCAGCAAGAGCTCCTCAGTAATGTTTCGAGGGCGCAATAGTTACGTAGGGTCGACTCATGAACTTTGGGTGTACAGAAGAGGTCTTTTAATGGCATATATCCATGTTATATACATCATCACACACGCAGGGACACAACAAGACGGAAATCTGAAATTGCAAAAAAATCGTCGTCGGGAGACCACCTCCATAAACCACCTTTCCGAGAACCCATCGCACCATCCACTCCACCGTCGACCGCGAAACTGCTGCTGCGGGAATCGTTGAAGTAGCTTCGGTACTACTTCTCTCCATGCACTTTCTTTTTGACTTTCTTTTGCTCTCCTTTTGATGCATAGTCAAGGAACACCTCATAAACTATGAACTCTCAAATTTGCGGCAACAAATAGCCCAATAAGCCAGTTTTTGTCATATTCATGTTGTGTTTCCACTCATTTTTCGGCATTCCCATAGAGGCATAGCAAAAACGAAACCCATTTTTGTGACCCTAGTATGGACCCCTAAAACATGCAACAGACCATTTCTAAAAAGCGCGCTATGACCTGAAAGACCTCCCTTGTTAGTGTAGCTTGGCTCCGCATTCGAGACAGAATGTTGGTGAATTAGTCTGCAGCGCAGTGTGATCTTCTCAAAAGAATTTGGAGCAAATCATTGGGGCTGCCGGGGGGGGGCAAGGCATGAGCTTCATAAGTTGGTTTTTCATCTTCTGAAGTTTGAACACTTTTAGGTCCTTGGGAAATAGGGACTATCAACCAGGAATTACACTGTGCAAACAAAAATCTCGAGGGGGCGAAGGTAATCAATATAACAGACAATTATTTATCTCTGCACAAGTTCATTTAAATAAAGAAGTGATGAGGAGTTCAGCCGCTAGTAACAGCAGAAGAAATCGACGCTGCAAGATTCGTTGCATTCAGAGATACGCCAGAAGATGATGCCGGAGCCGTTCCGTTCGATGCTGCTGCCGGAGCCGTTGCCGCAGCTGTTCCATTCGATGCTGCTGCTGGAGCCGTTGCCGGAGCTGTTCCATTCGATGCTGCTGCCGGAGCCGTTGCCGGAGCTGTTCCGTTCGATGCACCTGCGGGAGTTCCCGCGGGAGCAGTAGCATTAGATGTTGCTCCGGGAGTCATTACCGTAGCTGTTCCGTTTGCTCTCGGAGTTGATGTGGGAGCTGTAGCATTCGATGCCGGCGCGGGAGCTGTACCGTTTGATGATGCGGGAGCAGTAGCATTAGATGTTGCTCCGGGAGTCATTACCGTAGCTGTTCCGTTTGCTCTCGGAGTTGATGCGGGAGCTGTAGCATTCGATGCTGGCGCGGAAGCTGTACCATTTGATGTGGCAGAGGGAGCTGTTCCATTCGAGGCAGCACCGGGAGGCGCTGCTGGAGCTGATGCATTCGATGCCATTGCAGGAGCTGTAGCATTCGATGCTGCTGCAGGCAGAGGTTTGGTCGCGTTCGATGAAGCACTTCCCATTGTTGCGCTCCCCGGCATGGCCTTGCTTTCCACACCAAGTTCTTGTGCCATACTTTCGATTTGTTTGTACTGTGAAGTATTCTGAAAGAAATTCGATGAAATGGTTACCTATGTTCAGGCACTGCAGAGCAAATTTTGGGTTTACGACAAAGTGAGGAGCTTTTTTCTTTTTGCTTCAAGCAGTGCGCATTGACTAACAACTTGAGTGACCTTTTCAAAAAAATTTCTGCTGTTCTACAGAAATGCTACATTTTCTTTCTGAAATAATTCAGCCTTTCACGTTTTCTAGACTTGAAACTGGGCTACCCAGGAGGTAAAAATCAGCAATTTTGATATATGCAATACTTTCCTTCATTGAGATTAAGAGATTAAAAAATTGATCAGTTCGGGAATGACGATTTCTTCTTGAACGGCATGCCCAGTTTGGTCAATATTTTGGCGCGACTGGGAGTTTGCAATCCTCTCTATATATGAAGCAGAAGCTGTGTGTATGTGCATGTGTGTTTATGTTTGCGTGACCTCCCGAAAATTGAGGACTATGTGCCAAGGATAAAAATTTTCAAAACGCATCCTGAGCAACCCGAAGGATGGGTAATATGCTTGAAGGTGTAAGCCAGATGAAGTAAGGGAGAGACAGCCCAGCAAAAGTAAAGGGCAAAAGTTCATAATTTTGTATCAATCAAATGAGAATAGTAGTGAACATGAGGAAAATCGAAAATTTATGAAGTGTTTGTATTTATTTATTTCTTTATTTACTTATTTACCTGTTATTTATTCTACAACAACCCAAATACACCCATACTTCCACTTCAGTTCATCCACTGAGCATCCAGTACCCAAGGAGGCGAACCGACCGGTGTAATCCTACTATATATAATCCGCTAAGTTTGTCTGTTGGTGTGTGTGTGAATGTATGTTTGTGTGTCTGTATGTGTGTTTGACCGGAAATTCATGACTTCCTTCAAAAGAGCGATAGAGCTCTCAAACTGATAAGTGATGTAGGGGGTCGTGCACGAACATTATTGGTCGGTGGCAGGGATTGATAACAGTTGATAAGATACCATAAGGAACCTTAGAAGGTAAGGGTCACCAAATTCACAGCGCGCGTCACAGCAGCGGTAGAGCGCTGGTTCCAAGAAGTAAGATAGAGGGCAGGATGGGGACATTTTTGGTGGGTAGCAGGAAGTGATAACAGCCGATAAGATACCATAAAGAGCCTTGGAAAGGGATGGTCAGCAACATCATAACGCGGGTCACAGCAGCGGTAGAACGTTGGTTCTAAAAAGTAAGGCAGAGGGCAGGATGGGGACATTTTTGATGGGTGGTAGGAAGTGATAACAACCGATAAGATACTGTAAGGAGCCTTAGAAGGTAAGGGTCACCAAATTCACAACGCGCTTCACAGCAGCGGTAGAGCGTTGGCTCCAAGAAGTAAGATAGAGGGCAGGATTGGGACATTTTTGGTGGGTAGCAGGAAGTGATAACAGCCGATAAGATGCCATAAAGAGCCTTAGAAAGGGATGGTCACTAATACCATAGTGCGCGTCACAGCGACGGTAGATCGTTGTTTGCAAGAAGTAATATATGGGGAAGGATACACATTATTGGTGGGTAGCAGGACCTGATGACAGCCCGATAGGTAGCAGGACCTGATGACAGCCCGATAAAGTACCATAGGGGGCCCGCTTCAGGAAGGCCTCGAAATTCAATGTAAGGGTCGGAGCAACAACGGGGAGCTGCATCTTTACTATGCTTGCGACTGAACTTGACCACCGTTGCCCAAGAATTAATGGGCTAAACCTTAGTGAGCCGAGATGTTCCTATCCCTTAGGATGTAGTCGGAATTGACCCGATCGCTAAACCCTCGAGTATCAACCAGAAGTAAAAACCTGAAATTGTTTGCCAGTTAGGAATGATAAGAGTCGCCAATAGACCGATATGTGAAAGCTGCTCACGGAGGAATTAGGATGTGAGAACACTTCACTACGATTTCGATATTGTTACCATTGAAACTCTTTCAACCGCTAGGTTGTCTCATTTCCAACGAATGGTGAGTATTGTGATAAGCACCATACGTTGGAAAATGTTCATTAAAGAGGAAAATTATGATGAAATGGGCCGTGTTTTGAAGCATGGGAAAAATGCAAAGTTTTAGGGGCCACCTTAAAAATTCTGCCATTGTTCAGTACCATAGGTTTAACAATTCGCGCAGTAATGCGCGTCAGCCAGACTGGTAAATAATAATAGACTGATGAAATTCGAATAACTGGTAAAACTTCCAGAAAGTTGGGATGTTGGAAGGGGCTGGTAGGGTGCTAAGCAGTAGGATGAGGTCATGAGGAAGTACTCGAGAATCACCGCCATTTCACTCATTTCTACTACTCCTCATTAGACATTAGTACTTTGCTCCTCATTAGAGTGCCTATCAACTCTAATCGTGAATGCTGTAAAAGTCGTTGCGAAACCCATTGTGTAACCTAGAATAATCAAGTAAAATAGGCCAGCCAACTAAAAAAGTCTATACGCAATGCCAAGTCTTCCTTCTCAACGACATCGCGACCTCACACCGCAGAGACTGTTACGGCTATTTCCCGGGGATTCAGATGAGAGGTTTAGAAGCTCCTACCGTAGCCTCTAGAATTTCTGTCACTCCTACCATATGTCAGGCAGTGTAACCCTTTTCCTGCTTACTGTCAAAACGAGTGAAGTGCCTTATTTCCAACAACGACGAAAACCTTGAAAATGGGCTCAGTACCTTTTTCAGCTAGGCGATTTTTGGGTGAAAACACCAACTATTAAATGGTTGAGAGGAGAGAACAGTTCATAAACATTAACCTAGAGAATATAGTCGATTAAGGCTGTAATATTGTTGTTTTTAACAAAACTCGGGGCTAAAAATCACTCTACTGAGCTATAGGCAGTTGTGGCATAGTAAGCTATCTCCAGCGCTCACTCCAGGCAGGCCTTTATCCTTCCTAGAATGAGTGCCTGTGCAGAGTGAGCACTAGAAATAGCTTAGCATCCTAGGATGGGACTGTGCTATTTAGGACTTCTGGTTGATGGGAATGTGATGTATTCAAAAGTACGTAGTAGTAGTAGTATAGGGTAGTGAGTGTGTAAATACAGATAAACGGAGCGAAGGTGGTGTAGCGGTGAAAAAGGCACGATTACCACTCGTGCGGTCCGGAAGTCGAATCCCGGCTCTGCTCCCGCCAAGGCCAGTAAGATTTCTACTCTCCGGGGACGGTGATTTGGTACCAGATCTGTCTGGGAGGATATGAACACTGACTTGTGCATCGCTTGACCCGCAAGTCATTGCATAGAACACATAACATTCTATGAACGGCTACGTTCCTGAATGAAAGTAGAGTGCGTGTCGCATCTCTGAAACGAATTGATCTTCGGTGGAAACTTCAACCTTTATCCTTTATAAAGATCAATGGTAGGATAAGAGAAACCTGTATGTACCAAAATAATTGATTAGCGAAGTTCACCATCTTTCTTCTTTTCGACGCACTGTTACTTTAGGTTTACTAGATTTTTCGAAACGGAATTCATTCACAAGGGAGCACTGCATTGAAAGGGTCCGTTGGGAGGATAGGATCCCATCGTGTGTCTTGCGTGGTTGCTGGGAAAAAGATGACTCGACCTTAAATTTCTGGGGGAACTGGCAAAATTTTCGGATAACTGGTAGGGAGTAGGAAAATTTTACTTATTATTTTATCCAAATTTTACTGACATTTCACTTATATGGTATTTTACCCCACCGAATTGATGACGCTCTAAGGGTACGGCAATGAGTGAAATGGCGGTGTCAGCACGACTCCCGAAAAGCTTCTCGTGACCTCATCCCACTGCTCAGCACCTCACCAGATTCTTCCAACCCCTGCCTACTTTCTGGGAGTTTCACCAGTTATTCGCATTTGATCAGTCTACTATTATTAGTACATTGCAAACTCCCAGTCGCACCAAAATATTGGCCAATGTGGGCATGCCGCTCAAGACGAAATCGTCATTTCCGAACTGGTTAATCATTTTTTGATCCCAATGAAAGGAGAAGTATTGCAGATATCGAAATTGCTGATTTTTACCTCATAGGTAGCCCAGTTACAGTACCCGCCGTAAGTGTTCAAAAATTTACGAAAAAAACGCCGATCCGCGTTTTTTTCGTTTTTTCGTTATAAAGCTGTTCTTTCTGATTTTTTGTATGGATACCCATATATTAATAGAATCAGCTCGCCGAGCTCTATCCGAGGGTATGCTCATATTCTAGAAGTTGGTTTTTTGCTGGCGCCATTTTGGCGCCACTTGGCGCCACCTTGGCGCCACTACTTTTCCAACAAAGTCTGTATAAACTCTATTACTGGGGCTACTTAAAGCCCTTTTTACGAAAATGACATCATTTCTCGCCGTGGCGCCATTTGGCGCCATTAGGTGCCAATTACGCGCCAGCTTGCGCCACTTTGGCAACGACCCCCTCAAAAAAATCTGTATAAACTAGCATAATGGGGTTTCTGGGTGCCCTAATCACAAATGTAACATTCACTTCCAGGCCATGGCGCCGTTCTTTGCCATTTGGTGGCCAATTTGGCTCCACTACTTTTTTCAACCAAAATCTTTGTAAACGCCGCAGCCTGGTTGTGGAATGGTCACGTGATCGTCTTTTGCAGAGCAAACATAACTCACGTGAGCTTGCGGCGCTGGGGGCTCTGCGCTAACCATAGCCTATTGTTCACGTGAATACTGCATGTCCTTGCCTAAAACCCACCTTACAGGAGTTATTCGGTGCCCTGTTCACGCGAATTGCCATTTCATTTCTAGCTATGGCGGCCATCTGGTACCAGTAGAAGCTATTTTGGCGCCACCTTGACGCCACCTCAGCGACACAAACCGCCACAACTGGCCAACCAACTTTTCTACCCTCCGAGAATATGGTAAAGGGTACTTTGGCGAGGCGCCTGTGGCGCGGGCGCCAGGCATTCTCCAGGCCAAGAGGGTGTGGTATTTATGTTCGGGAGGCCGAATTTATCGCCAGGGATAATTTTCTTCAAAGTTGGATCTCTCGCCGTCTCCTAACTTCGCCCTCAGATGTTCCTTCCATGCAAGGGCGATTCCGCCTCAGTCAGTGACTGGGACGACGCAATAATCATGTGAGGATCACGTGATCGCGATTCAAACGCTTGCACCCAAAAGCGCGCGTAAAGCCATCGATCGCTTTTGAATGCAAGCGTTTGAATCACTATCATGCATAGCCTCATTGCTATGGCTTTGGTTTTTTCTCTTTGTTTCACTTTGTTTCTTGAGTTGTGAATGTTTTGAACATTCCAAAAGAGATACTCATCCATACAGAATGAGGTGGAACTCTTGTGAGCACCTCACTATTCTAGAACTGATTTCCATCATCTTGTGTGAAAGAAACTTCGTACTGTGGCGTTGTGAGTTTTTGTGTTGCTGTGTGTTTCTCTGTTTTCCTGGGAGTGATAACGTTACATGAATGGTGCTAACGTATTTGGGGGGGACGCACGCGGCTCGCGGCGTGCGATGACTCATCTGCCCTCCGCTGCCCTCCTCGGCAAAATAGAAGTAATTTTGTGTTGATATAACCGACCTAGATATATTATTACAGTGACGCTAAAAGTCCGAAGAAAACAGTTGTGGGTGGAAGATTTTTGAATTAACTACAAGATTTTGTTGCCTGTTTGTTATTGACTGTTATTGTTGACATACGAGGACCAAACATTTGTCTTCGGCTTCCGTGGGATTTCTCTGCAAGTTTACGGTGAATCTTGTTTGCTTTATGTTAATTTGACTGCTAGAATCGCGCTTCAACTATGCGATGAGTGAAAAGCGATGAGTCATCACTCGCCGCGCGCGCGCGTGTCCCCCCCCCAAATACGTTAGCACCCAATGGTTTACCTCTAAACTAAATTCGGTTTTTTTAAACATACATATTCCTGAATCATTCGTTCGGCGTGGGATCTCATTTACACTGAGGATAAGAGAATGCTAAAAACATAATTAGAAACATCAACACACCAAAAGAGAGAAGGGGAATGGGAACAGTGAACAAGTTCTATGGTCGCTTAGTTGTAAGAAAGAGCAGCTACTTTCAATGCAGGCAGTATCCAGATGACAAACAGATGTTGTAAAAGGTGATACACTTTACTCATTTCACATCACTGTCACTTTGCTCGATCTCTCATAATCACGAATGCCTACTTATGCCATCCTCAAAATATTTTGCTGTATTTGTTACGTTTCATAGAGCTTGTTATGCTATTCACATTATCCTATCTAGTTTATTTCTTGTTGTTTACGTTTTCGCGTCTCATATTGTTCGATAGTTTCCTTGTGGATTATCGACAGAAGTTGATCCAAAGTAGTTGTTAGCTGAGTAGCGTGTATCACTGGACAGCGTACGAGGTTTCTTTCACACAAGGTGATGAAAACCAGTTCTAGAATATTAAGGTGCTTAACTGCCGTCTAAACCTACACTCGGAAAAACGGCCGGAAGAGTTTCACGTCCGCAAGTCATCACTTCGGGGAGGCGGTCGTTTGGCGGCGATTTCATGCGCCGTTTACGTGTTCTGACAAGTACATGCCTACCGGATAACTTGTTTGAATCACTGAACTATGGTTTGCGTAATTTGTAGCCTATAAAAACCCTCCTGTTTTTGGTGATAGCGTTATTATTCAAACAGTAAGTTTTCTTCTAGTGATCACTTGGGGATATACACTAGTTCGGAGGTTATGGCGAGTTGTTTCCCCTAGAAGTCAGCTTGCCTGACATGTTCTTTCGCGTAGACGACAAAAGAATCGCGCCAAACGACATACACCCTCCACTTCGTTGTGGGGCCACGTGTCCCTTTAACTTCATTTGAATTAGGATACTTCAATGGAGTAATTATTTTCGAGATCTGCCTCGATTAGGAAACATGAAACCTAAGGTGCAACCGGAAACTTGAACACTTCGAGTGCATCTTTTGTTAGAAAGTATCGGAGTTGTGAGTAACGTCTGCTGAACCGCTTTTGAGAAGTTTCTCAAGACAAAAAAAACCGACGGAGGATTCAAATCAACATTTCTGGGACACCTGAATTGTCCCCATTCAAAGCTCCACAGGTTTCCAATCATCTCGTGAATCAATCTTCTAGAATACTTGGTTCGTAAAATTTACCTACCAGCTGCATAAAAAACCACTTACAGGATAGTATATTTGCTGAAGTTTACTATGATTCTAGATAAACTTGATACCATAATGCAATTGATTCATTCTCTTTTGATTACTGGAAGTCTATTGGCTAACCATAAGAGGTACCCTCAAATCATGTCCCAATTCATTAACGCGCTCCAATCATAACCAGGATTACGGTAACACCCATTCACACGGAGTCCCTAATCTCTCTGATGAAAAGGGGTGGGGGGGGAGGGGAGATAGGAGATAGTGCGCCCACGACCAAATTCCCAACTAATGATGTGCCCTTACAAAGCCTTCATTGCGGCACTCCACACAGACTTCAGGGACGGTAGTGATACTTCTATGGTGTCGTCGATTTTCATATGCTTACCAGCCATTTCTTCCATTGTCCCGTGATTTCCCTTCAACGTTTCCTTCTCGAAGTCCTAAATAGAACGAGATGAAACGATGGGGAATCGTCACATCAACTACCACGGTGATACAAAACCAGAATTTCAAGTTACTAAAATAAAAAAAGAGATACAAAGTTACAGCAGAGCGTAGCAAGCACAACTGTGACAGCGAGATAGATACTCGAAAGCGAGAATAGCAGGAATGGATTGATTTTCGATTGCGAAATCGAAACCAGATCGACAAATTTCGTAATCGAAACCCTGTTTCCAATGATGTGCTCAGAAATGCTCAAAATTAGTATTAAGTAACCGAGCACATCGTTATAAGATTCCATAACAGGGTGTCGTAACTGTTCGCCGGAGAGGGGGTCGTATTTGGGCTGAGAAAAACATGTTTCGAAGCTGATTCATGTTTCACGGATGTTGTGGAAGGAGTGTTCGTACTTGCTCATTGTTAAGGGGGGGGGGGTGTAAGTCCCTCGACGTGATAAATGATTTTCAATGATTTTCAGTTCAATCCAGACCGCTACTTCAATGGTAATAAACTAGAGCAAAGGGTAGTTGCTTTCGGTTTGGGAAAGAGATCGTGTCTGGGAGAATCCCTTGCACAAGCGGAGCTCTATCTGGTGATTCCTCTTTTTTCTTATTCGATGAAAAATTCGCTATTCACGAAAAAAAGATCCAGTGAAATCAAAAAGCGGTCAGTACGCCTGCACCCAAATTTTGTGGGTTTTGGGTAACCGCTAAGAAAGAGATGTCCAGGAGAAAACCCAAGAACAGTTGAAAGTCCAAGATGCGCAGCATATGGTGCCCAACTGATCTTCTGCTGGGTTGGTTTAGGCCTGTTAATCAATTGGTCCACCCTGGTCGTATGGGCGGAGTCATACCTACCACCGTGCTCTGCGTGTCTTTTGCAGCTCCATAGGGCGAGGGCGGCAAAAAAGACCTTGCAAGCGGATTCTAATACAGGGAATCCGCCCCACGACCAAGCCAATGCAACGTACTTGTCGACTAAGAAAATACCCTGCTAGATATAGATATTCATATTCTTCCATTACGCTCGTAAGCATCGGTCCGCACTACCTACAATTATAAGGATCATCCATGATACATATTCGGCTAACTCTTCTGCAACTATTGCCGAGATAATTAATCGCCTCAGGATTCACAACATTCCCATCAGCGGGTCGCAAGTGCGTCGTTTAAGAAACAAGTTAGGTTACCGAAGAGCAACCACTAAATACTGTCAGATGATCCGTGATACCAATAAGCAAAAAAGATTGGAGTTCTGTAACAAGATGCTGGACAGCAATGAGGATTTCAGTCAGTGCGTGTTCACGGACGAGACCACTATTCAATGTATGTTCTCCTTTCACGTATAGGTCTACTATGCGCCTCAGAAACCATTTCCAGGTGACTGTTCCGTTAAATACTGCTATGTAAAAACGGGCGATTACTACTCACGTCTGCGGAGTCGAGCAAAGCACCCTGCCAAACTCCATCTATGGGGTGGCATCTCCATAAGGGGCGCGACACCGCTCGCTATCTTCCCTGGTCATATAAGAATGGATAGCAGTAAATACTGTCAAATTTTAAAGAGGTGCTATGTTTTATTCAACAAGCAGGTATTCAATGGTAAGCAATCATTTTTCGAAGATGAATTACTGTGGAAAGCCTAAGTTTATAGGGTTCGGCGTTCTAGTTCAAGATAACGCCCCGTCCCACAAGAGTGCCTTCACGACCGAGCTCCTGCGAATGTGGAAAGTCAGAACACTCGATTGGCCACCCGAATCGCCGGATTTAAACCCTATCGAGTTAGTGTGGGGAAGCATGAAAGCCTTCATCAGGTTACAGCTCTACATTTAACTTGTGAGGGTAGACTTTCAGTAAAGGTTGATTTTAAGGAAGAGGAACATTCGAACGGTTGACGAGTTACGGAACGCGGCATTAGCTTTCTGGAAGACCTTGACGCCGTCTATCTGCGAAAAGTATGTACTGGGAATTCAAAGGAAGCTTCACCGAGTTGTGGAACAGAGTGGAAGGAATATTTATGAAGGACGATAAATTTTGTTACTTCTGTTCTTGTTCATTGCTGATTTGAATGTGTTTGATTTGATTGATTTGTTTAATTTGATTTGTTTCATTTGAATCGTCTGTCTGTTTTCGGTAAAGAAAGCTTGGATTTGGAATGATTTTTTTCGTATAGAGTCGTACTTAGTATGCCCGTTTCATACGTTAGCAGGCTTTCAAGCCGTATCTTTTTTGGAAATGAACGAGTTGAATTCTGTGAGATATCTATGGCTCTAGAACGGTTCCTCATACCGATCATTTCCTCTTGGCTTTTTATTGTTCGCGACGCGGACTATACCTTGAATAGTGTCTGATTCAGAGACCTTGCCAATATTTGATGGCTACAGGAACGCATGCGATCGTGTACTTCAGTTCATCCAGAACGGATATTGTGGATGTTTCCTCGATTCTGGGGAGCTTCGTAATCAACCACACAGCAAAAATTCGCTGGGGCAGGAAAATTTACAAGGGGAAGGTGGGAATTATCTATGGATGTTGTGAGACTCTGAACCAAATAACGAACTTCTTTGAGGTTCTCTATGTCTCATCGAAAGATGAGTGCGAAGAAAGAATAAACGACGTCACAGAAGATGGGACACTTGTTGGAAGTTTCTTCAGTGTAGGCGAGAGCACGGTGTCGATGCCACCCACAACTTCACATGGAGATGTTGCTCATCCTGTACTACGGGAGGTCAAAAATGTGCAGAGCTGCTTGAGCGAAATACTCGAGCAAACCATGCACATGAAGAGGACCACTGGTGCCTCTATACGTCAGCTAGAGCTGAGGATGCAGGCCTCGTTTTCACATTTGGAGCGAAAGATGAACTCTGTCGAAGAGTCTCTCGAAGAGTTGAAGCGCAAAAGGAAGGCCGATTCTGACGGTGAGTTACTGTGCTATTACTAAGATAACTACATTTCCTTTCATACATGCTGATCTTCTAAATTACAGATGACGGAATAGATTTTTCGTTGCTTTCTAAGGAGTGAGTTGAGGCCCTTCTCAGTTTGAAATGTGGCAGGCTAACCAAGTTTGAGCTTGCTCTAGAAGATGAACTATACACCGATGATGCGTATGAGCAGCGATTGAACGTAGAACAAAGAAAGTGTTCTGCAAAAAAAGTTGAATTCATTAGAGAGGTGAGTTTTGGTGAATGTCCTCGCATAAATGTAAAGAAAGTGCCAAACGTTAAAAAAGCGTGTTTAGGTTATATTCAAGTACTTCAATGTTTCACACAGATCGAGAAAGAGCGTTTGGCAAGATGTCAAAAATGCACTCAATGGAAGAGTGCGCACTGCTCGTCATCGCACCATGACACACATACACCACCTATCACCCGACCGCCTAACTCTCAGAACGCCGTCGTACACGGATGATCAGCAGGAGAATGTCTATGAAAACGTGTTCGAAACGTGATTTGTTGCTTGAATTTATGATGATTGTGTAGTTTTTACCTGGACAACATGAAGTCCTCACATTAATGATATGAAACGACAGAAAATCTTATTGCTTTTGCAGTTTAACTTTATGATGATTGAGAAGTTTTCATCTTAATCAGGAAGTTCTTATGTTGTGATATGAAGTGAGATAGGAAATCTTCTTGCTTTTCAGTGCATTAGGTGCATGTATATATTTTGTTTTGAGTTACTTTGGATTCTGGAGTAAAGTTAAGTAGGAGGGATATTTTGTGTATCAGGAGTCCCTAGAGGTACTTTGAGCTGAACGCGAATGCCCTAGTGGCCTGGTCCAAAAGGGTGACTCGAGTCCGCACCACAGACGCTGACGCCAAAGACCCTGTATGACCAAATTGGGTGAAAAGTTATTCTCCGGGTAATTTGACATGATATGAATCAGGGCACCGATGACCCAGTGTGCAAGTTTGCATAGATTTTGGTGAAAAGTTTCTGGTACCAATTTACCGTCCTCGGAGAATAGAAAGGTTGGTTGGCCAATCAAAATCGTGGCCGGGGTGGCGCCGAGTTGGCTCTTAATGACGCCAAATGGCGCCACGGCTAGAAATGAATGTTATTTTCGTGAACAGGGCCTAGAGTAGCCCCAGTAGTCGAGTTTATACAGACTTTGTTGGGAAAAGTTGTGGCGCCAAGGTATCGCCAAAATGGCTTCTAGTATGTCAATTTCGTGAACAGGGCACCGAATAACTCCTGTAAGGAGGTTTTTAGGCAAGGACATGCAATAATCACGTGAAGAATAGGCTGTGGTTAGCGCAGAGCCCCCAGCGCCGCAAGCTCACGTGATTTATGTATGCTCTCCAATGACGATCACGTGCTCATTCCACAAACCAGGCTGCGGGTTTACAAAGATTTTGGTGAAAAAAGTAGTGGAGCCAAATTGGCACCAAATGGCAAAGAACGGCGCCATGGCTGGAAGTGAATTTACATTCGTGATCAGGGCACCGAGAAACCCCATTATGCAAGTTTATACAGATTTTTTTGAGGAGGGTCGTGTCGCCAAAGTGGCGCAAGTGGCGCGTAATTGGCACCTAATGGCGCCAAATGGGCGAGAAATGAATGTCATTTTCGTAAACAGGGCTTTGAGTAGCCCCAGTAATCGAGTTATAAACTTTGTTGGAGAAAGCTGTGGCGCCAAGGTGGCGCCAAGTGGCGCCAAAATGGCGCCAGCAAAAAACCAACTTCTAGAATATGAGCATACCTTCGGATAGAGCTCGGCGAGCTGATTCTATTAATATATGGGTATCCATACAAAAAATCAAAAAGAACAGCTTTATAACGAAAAAACGAAAAAAACGCGGATCGGCGTTTTTTTCGTAAATTTTTGAACACTTACGGCGGGTACTGTACATGTCTAGAAGTCAGGTGAAAGGCTAAATTATCAACACCGGTCCCTGCGACGGCGCGGGACTAACGCTAAGGAGAAGAAGAAGAAGAATAAGTAGGAACATTTTACTAAAGTAGGTAGTGAGATCAGGTTATGAAAACACTTTTGTGATGAAAACTGACACTGTCATTTCACCCATCCCCATGTTATACACTGTTCCTCATTGGAGCGTCCACGCGTTCGAAAACGACAAAGAAGAGTGACCCTGGAGTGAAGACAGCGAGCACCATTGCGTAGTTGGCTCCAACCACAAGGTCTTCAAGGTATGTACTGTGCCTTTAATCCTTCTCTTATTTCTCTAAGCCGGTGCAAGTCTTGGACAGGCTTGAAGAAATTTGAGAAGGATACCCATCATGCCAAGATTGCAAGAAATTCGCACTCGGACTATTCTGAAACTTGTGCCCTTAACTTTAGCAGAGGCAGCATTATGGAAAAGAATTCAATTTTTTTTCTTAGTGGTATGGACCACCTTACATAGGACAAACTGCGAACCATCGAAGATTAGTTGGTAATTTCAAGGGAACTCACATTTCCAGCTGCCGTAAGTGCCGATGCTACGATCGACGAAAGTTGCATCGCACGTACCATTCTTGTTAACTGAAAAATTCCCATGTAAGGTGTTTTTAACGCATAGTCTGACGAAACCAATCTGGCCAATAATTGCAAAATCCGACAGTAAGAAGGAGTAGTCCCCGCTGCGTTCATACTTTGCTTCAGCGTCCACCAGCGACTACTACAGCTCCGAGCGTCCGGGTATGTCAGCGACTAAGAAGTTTAGATATTCGCCTAGTGTCTGCCAGCGTCTACCAGCGTCTGCCAGCGTTCACTAGCGTCCAGCATCGACCGGGAGTAGAGAGTATGGGGAAGTAGAAGGGTAGCAAATAGCTGGATTAGGCGTCCTGAAAATACGAGGGGTGCGACCCATCTTACTGCATCGTACTTCAACACTACACCGTACATTGACTTGCATAGAAAACATCAATTACTCAAAACCATTGAAATTAAAACAGAACATGGGGGGGGTGATTACCAAAGTGCCAGAATCAGATTGTTCGCCTTCGGTTTTGCACGTGCCTTTGGACGGAAAGCAAACCAATGGGTTTCCTTCCGCTTCACTCTCCAGCTAGGGAAGGAGAGAATAAAGAACTGCATGATTCTGTGCCGTAGGGGTTGGGCAGTGCTTTTGCACACGCGGGAGTCACGACGAGACGCTGGCAGATGCTGGCAGCGTCTAGATCGATATGTATAGCTTCCTAGTCGCTGACGCCGCCAGACCCTCGGAACGCTAACGGTCGCTGGTGGACGTTGATAGACGCTGCTGGACGCTGCCGCAAAGTATGAACGCAGCCTGAGCTATACCCTGTCTAAAGGCAGCGCCCACGTCCGTTTGATGGTGTCTCTCTCTGGCTATCATACGGCCGCCGCTGTGTGGAAGCCTCACCACTACCTTCAGTCCAGCACATGCGAAGCACGGAGAGAATGCATTTTTTTTCGAAATCACTGCAAAGAGCAGGACTTTGTTTAGGCCCTTGAGAATAACGTCGCGAAACTTCTCAAAACTCGAAAAATGAGCACAATATGGCATTCTTGAGTTCACTGAAATTAGCCGTACTACAACAAAAAAAACTGCGGATCATGCACTATGCATGTGTCCAAAGGTTAGTAGTAATCCTTCTATTCTATAGAGCACTAATTTTGTGTGTCGATTTGTCGGTCTGTATTTAAGTGTGTATGTTCGTCCGTCTGCTAAATGCTTCACGGGATTAAATAGCTTTCTGAACGGAGAAACGACCGCTAGCCAATCTGGAAAGCTATCTGTGCAGATGTATCAATCCGACGTTTTGATTATGATAACGGCCTCCACTATATAAGACAGTGCACTCCAGGCCATTGCATGAGCTGCTCGCGTGGCTGCTGGACGTGGGCACGTGCAGGGGCATGGGGAAGGGGTGCGACGAGGGGGATGGAGTGTGCGGCCACGAATTGGTTTGAGTGGGGAGGGCAGTGGAAGAGCATAGAGTGTGCTCCTACTGGAGAACACCACTACGGTGGAAAAAAAAACTACAGTGAGAGCGATAAGATTGAGAGGATAGGGATAGACTGCTAGCACAGCTGCGGAACCCGATACGAATTGACGTGATATCAATTCGAGGTAATGTTTTGAATATGATAACACCAGTCAGATCGCCCAGCTGTCGCCAGGCACTCCTCCTTCTGCGACATGGCCCGGCTTCGCCGGGCAGGTGCGAGTTCGCCGCTCGATAGGAAAGGTCTTTGATCCATCGTATAGCTAAAAGGAATAAACCAAGACTGAAAAATCGCGATCCGACTGGTATAAGACAACCGCTATAACCCCCACTATATAAGAAAACATAGTGCACTTCGAACCATTGCACGGGCTGCTCGCGTGGCAGCTGGACGTGCGCGCGTGCAGTGGGACAGGGTAGGGAAGGGCAGGGGGCCGGGGGCATGGGGAAGAAGGCAAGGCGAGGGGGAGGGGGCAAGAAAGAAGAGGAGCGCGGGAAGCCAGATTAGTGGGAGGGAGGGGAGGGGCTGGAGTGCGCTTTGACAGAATCGCACCATGACGGCGAAAACAGAAGCATTGGTGAGAGCGACAAATAGAAGAAAGGAGGGATCAACCGCTAGCAGAGTTGCAGGGCAATCTCTAATGTGTTATCAGTTCAAGGTGATATTTTAATCCGAGCCATTGGAAGGACTGCTCCCGTGGCAGCTGGACGCGAGCACGTGCAGTGACAGGATAGGTCCGGCGAGGGGTTGGAGATGGGGTAGGGCGAAGGGGTAAAGTTAATGGGAGATACGATGAGTCAGAGGGGAGGGCGTTCGTAGAGTGCGCTTAGTAGGAGCACTCCACTACTGTGGGTGCAAAAGCATTAGTAAAAGCGCTAAGCTGAAAAAAGCGAAAGGCCCAATTGCTAACAGATTTGCGAACCAATCTGTGTTGCGCTATATTGCGCTACATATATCCGAAGAATATTGCAAGTGTGATTACACACTGCACCCTATTAAACAACCATTTGGTGTATTCCGTACCACTGCACTGCTGCTCGCGGGGCAGCTGGAATGAGCGCTTGGATGGGTCAGGGTAGGGAAGGGATTGAGGCACTGCGGTGGGGGGGGGGAGTTGATGGGTGTGCAACTGTAAAGCGTATGGTGCGCTTTAACATGAGCACAGCTCCACTTCAGCGAAAGCGATAGGTTGAAAAAAGGAAGAGCCCACCGCTCAGAGTGCAAACTAATTCATGTCGTCTTATCAGTTAGAGGTAATGTTTTAAGCGTGATATCACACTTTTACTTTCAAACGTTTGAGAAGAGATATAAACGAATAAAACGTGCAAGGAAAATGTGCAGCTAACGTGGCAAAAATATTAGCATCTGCAAACTTTGTGCTACATGATCGAATGGACTGCATGGTAATTGAGAAGGTGAGCGCTCACTGGTAGACCTTGCGATGCAGGTAATAAAACGGAATCTGTTCATCTAATGAGCAACTCATATTGTGCTGTATTGTTCGACTGTACTTTCTATCTATACATATAGATCTATGTATGGTATGGGCGTTAAAGCCCTAACCACCACCTACAACAAGCGCGGCTCAGATTTGCTGGGTTGCTCTATCTCTTACGATTTGTTCAATACAGCGCAATATGAGCAGCTCAAAGGATGACATAGTTCTTTTCCATGGAAGTGTCTCTGGGAAGCCAGGCCAGTCCGGCGAAGCCGGGCTAAAAAGAATAAGGAGAGCTCGCAGTAAACCGGGCGATCCTACTGGTGATAGATAAACATACCGTGTTTGGAAGTAATTGGTGGGGTGAGGAAAAACTTATGGGCTTCGAACCATTTGGTCCAATACGTCGGAGCCCTACTGTACACTACGGAAGGAGGACGCATAGTGTGTGAAGCGAAACTGCGCAGTGAATGCCATGGGACAGGAGCCGGTTCTAGAAGAGCTAGCATAGCAATAAACTGGTATCCACCATGTAGAACCCGTTGAGTTGTTAAGGCACTTCCACGAATATAACGTGGAATAGAATATTGAACTGCTAACCGTGAAATTTTTTATGGTCCAGATTGTGTAGTGCTAACGATCTCACATTTTGTGCAGAATCTATGTAAATCCGTACAGGGCTAGCTAACTTGCTGGCAATCGCATTCATCTTCCTGTGCAAATCCGGCGATTCGCGGTACGACGCTCTCGAAATAGTCCCGGCGCTAGAGCCATATCTATCTAAATGGTTCTGTAGAATAGTTACGATTTTTCTACTGAGAAACATATTTGTAAATCAAGTGGCCGTCTATAGCAACGGTCAGTAATAACTATAGTAACAGTCAGCTTAATTATTGATCCTAGACTGCTTCGGCTTTTGACCAAATTGCGGTGATAAATTATTAAATTTCTTTTCTCGATGCAATAGGTCGCGGAACAAGACATCGCTGTCCAAGCCTCTACCTGGTCGGCTGTGAAGGAATGGAAGAATTCCAGGAGCCCACCTCGTACACGAGTCATCCTCAATACGATTGGCAAACAAACTAGATGAAAGACAGCCATACGAGCAAGCAGAGTTTTGGAGGGGGAACAGTGCAGTCGATTACCCACACGGCTCTCCGAAGAATCACGAGAGAGCAAAATGCCGCTGTGTATCACTTCCGTCAATTCGAAGAAAATCTACTCCATTGCCAGGCAGCGTTCAGACTTCGCGCATCGACCGCACGATCGAAGCGCTGCTGTCGCGAAGTCTGAGGGCTGCCTCAGAGTTTATGGGCCCCATATAATAGCAAATCAAGTCGCAGTTCACGACTGCTCGCCACGCTGAATGCCTTCGATGGCGTGGTCCAGAGTCTGCATACCGTTTTCGTGGCTCAGAAGTGCTTCATAAGATAGTAGGTGATCTGTCACGCCTGAGTGAGCTAGCAAAATGGAAGCGCAACGTGACGCCAAAGACTCGGAACTATATCGAGAAATAAGGTAATATAACTGATTATGTCTTCGAAAAGCAGGGCATTTGAGAGAAAGTGGATTCTCTTTTTGTCATTTCTACAAAATTACGATGACTGACCTCACCGCCCAAAGCTATCAACACCTTCCATGCTGTAGCTGAGTTCAAGTTTGTGGCCATAGTACTCATTATCTGAAATTCAGAGCAGATTCTATAGTAAGCACGGCTAAATCCTTAAAAGCAGCGCCCACGTTCACTTTGTGTTCCCGCACCCTCTCTGTATATCATAGCTTCCTATGAGCACGCAGTATATACTATTTTACCTTGAAAAGGCTAGAGGATCGCGGAGGAGCGCTGTTCGCTAGTGAAAAGTCGGCCACACCGCCCACCTGGCCAGCTTAGGGTCTCTATAGGGCATTTTTCATGAATTTTTTTGTGCTCTTTTCTTACGACTGGATCACGTATAATATGAGCTCCATAACTCATTATCCTTGAAAGCGGGCTAACAAAGCAGTTATGTCAGCGAGGTGGGCGGGGCGGTATCCATTTCACAAGCGGGTGGTGCCATCCTCTCGTAATTTTGAGCTGCGAAATTGATACATCCCTCACCCTTGTCGACAAAGCTACGACATCTATGAAGGGCGTAGGAACATCAAATGAACGCAGGCGTTGCTATTAAAGGCAGTTGTCACGATGGTTTGGTGCTCTACTAGTAGGGCGCTATACAGTGCGGAAAATGGCCAAGACGGAGTGAATGGTCAAAACCTGCGAAGAAGAAGGCCTAACTCCGTTCGCAAAATGTTTAGCAATCAATTTTTGACGAGTTCGCCCGTAGGCATCTTGCCTATAAGCCGCTACCCGGGTACGGCTGCATATGTGCACATCCAATATATCCATGCAGCAACCCACGGCCGCTTCATACCAATCCCTTCGCTCACAATTTTGCTTAGCAAATGAATGCATTAGAGCTCGGGAACAGTCGTTCACGTTAATGGGGGGAGGGCCCTTATAAAGGCAAGCTCTTGGAGAGGGCATACGTACGCCTGCTCAGGGTCGCGAAGATTTCGGCGCCTGCCAGGCGTACTAATCCTGCCTTCGCTTGGGGATTATCGTGCCAACGTGCCTTCAAGAAACCAGGTAAAACATCTTGATGCGCTATTAACTGCAGTTTTACCGATTCCTGCCGTAGGCGTGATAGTGACGGTTACGGTGGACTGGAGTTTCTCACCAGATTTAGTAAGTGAGGCCAAGCCAAACGCCGGAATTAGCCTTTACTGTTTCAAATAATTTACGTTGACAAAACGCATGTTCACAAATACATTATGTGACCTGCTTTATTTGAAGCTGTAACTAGGATCCCTTCACAATGAGACTGTTATCGCTCTGTGTGGTGTGTGCGGGGCCACGGCCTATTATTTTGTCTTTTCCAATGGCGCCCATCCTTTAAAAGAAGTTCAATACAGGTAAGACGAAGATTTCACAGTGGGGGGGGGAGTCGACCCTGCCCTGTGGGACGAGCGTGGAAGTGTAAAAAATATTGCAAGTTTTAAGAATGCTGCAAAGAGCTCACACCATCTCATTTGTAACACTTGGAGTTGTGTTTCACATTTGAATCAGCGAAGATTACTGAACAGCTACCGCTCATTGCTTTGCTTACCCATAGCATACATTGCCGAGAGATCAGCATCATGGCAATCAGGGCTGTTCTTTCGCAGGCATTGTGCTGCTGCCCATTTGTCCTATGGCTGAATGTAGGCGTTGGCCATACTGGCAGATGAGGGCTACCAGGGCATCGCGCTCCAGCTGGTAGCCATGGAACTGTTACCAGACGTTCCGTTCCCACTGCTAGACATCAAACCTGTAGATCTGGGTCGGCTGAGGCTGTTGCCGGACATCATGTTGCTACTGGCCATCGAACCGTTGCCGCTTGTCATTGAGCCGTTGCCAGACATTGCACCACCACTGCTGGACAATGAGCTGTTGCCGCTTGTCATCGAACTGCTGCCAGACATCGCGCTACCACTGCTGGTCATGGACATCATGTTGCTACTGGCCATTGAGCCGTTGCCAGACATTGCACTACCACTGCTGGACAATGAGCTGTTGCCGCTTGTCATCGAACTGCTGCCAGACATCGCGCTACCACTGCTGGTCATGGAGCTGTTGCCTGTCGCGGGGCTGCTACCGGAACTCGAGCTGTTGCTGCTTGTCATTCCACCAGTGCTATTACCCCTGGGCATCGAGCTGCCGCCAGATGTCGTGCCGTTCATGGACGCAGAACTATTGCCAGACCCTGACTGCTGAGCAGCCGCTACAGCGAAAGTAATTAAGACGACATACAGGAGCATGGCTCGTACCTGAAAAGTAAAAATACTATTTCATTGCAACTTTTCTATTAAGAAGGGTTTCTAATTAGAAAACAGGAAAATTTCATTCTAACGGCAGTCCTCAATAAAGTACTGACCCTCAAGGAATACGTTATTTGTTAAAGGAATTCAAGAAAAAACATGGCACAATAGAACAATTCTTACCCTAAAAACTAAAAAAAATTTTTTCCGCCGAAACACTTCCTAAAGCTGTTATTCGATGTCCTGATCACCAATATAACATTCATTCCTGGCGCTGGTGCCAAGTGGCGCCAATAGGCACCAATATGACGCCACCACTTTTCTCACAGAACTTGCTGAAAACTTGTATAAGGAGGTTAAATGAAATCCTGATCACGAATATGGCATTTATTTTCGACGCTAGCGCCATTCGGCGCCAATAGGCGTCAATTTGGCACCACGTACTTTTTCTCCAAAATCAAAGAAAAACATGCGTAATAGGGCTGTTTGCTGCCCTGATAACGGATATGGCATTTATTTCTCGTCAGCAGTGCCATTTAGCCTTCTGCTAGGGCTGAACCTGGGAGAGCAGTGATTCAGCTCAGGTTCAG